ACCTGACCAAAGGAAAAATGGTATACTGTTGACCTCCAAATATAAAGTATAGATTCTCAAGTAAGCATACATTTCTGATGTCTTTTCTCTTTCGATTTCAAAGGGCTGCAAGTAGAAACTTAAAACTGCTATGCTATCTACAGCTATAGGCAAGTTAATGTGTCAAGTGTATAAATAATTTTCTTTCTTTTTAACGTTATATTACAAAAGATAACAATTTAGAGACTACTATGTGTCAAACCTTGCTGGGAATTTCATATGCATTATTTAAAAAGAATCACTAAACTTCATGTTTGAAGGCACGCTTTCAGGTTTTCATGGTTTTCATATACCATTAAAGAACTGGATAATCACTGAAAAATATCCCAGTTTACAGAATTACAGTGGAGTAAGTCAACTGGAGAACTAATTAAATGAGAGTAAGTGAAACTTTTATAACATTAATAATCCACCACAATATAAACTAGCTATCAGGCGTGAATCTTAGGTAATGTTACTAGGCATGGTTAAACTGAATCATGGAAGGGGTTAAAAATAACTACAATGAAAGGCCAGCAGCCTCACCGCCCAGTTGAGCCAACATTCCCTTCTCTCTCCCCCTCCCCCTCCCGTCCTCTCTAGTCCAGAATGAATTGCATGCCCCACTGCACAAGGCCCAAAAAGGTCACAGGAGATGGCAGAGACTTTTGTAAGAGAACAGAAATAACTCAGCAGCTTTGTTACCGTAGTCTCTTTTAATCAGTAGGTTCGAAATCCTTTAATTAGCACTCTGTCTACACAGGGAAAGCATTTCTTCTGTGCCAGGGGAGGGCACGAATGTATGTACACACTGTTCTGTTGTATCAGCACCACACTGAGCTAGCGCTGCAAACCGTCTGCCAGGGCACTGAAGCACAACCCTTTCTTAAAGGCATGGCACCACAGAATTTGCATACTATTTGCATTCCATTCCCAAACGACAGTGCTGATGAACTCTGTCTGCTTCATCTGGGTGTCAAGTTGTCCCTGGACTTTTTTTTCCCCAGCAAAAATGGAAGCATTTTAAACTAAACAATAACTTTCTTTAGTCAATTAAAATCATGTAAGGTATTCAAACTTAATATAACATACTGTTAATATAACATAGACAATATTCAGTTTTTGACTCATCATTGATCAATCGGGTGGGGGGGGGAACCACACCTCCCACAAATAGGAATAAATCATTAGACACATTTTCACACAGATGCTTTGCACTTAAAATTTCATCTAACCACAAAACGTCCCAAAACTGCAGGCTGGAATATATACACATATTTCCTTATAAAATCTGATTCACTGGAAGCAAGACAGAAACTGGGCATATATTTTAAATAACGATTTTAAAATCTACCGCCAAGAGCAAAGGAAACTCCATTGGTAGACTCTTTGCAGTATTTTAATAAGAATACATGGCGTTACAAACTTATTTTTAATCTTTCAAAATCAAGTTGAATATATATGTACTATAAGATACATAGTGTTGTGTGCATACAAGTGTACATGTATTTATATATATATATATATATATATACACACACACACACACACATATGTAATTAAACAAAAAGTAACCTTCTAAAAATACGATTAGAGAAACAAGCTAACTAAATTTTAAGGTGAAGTGAATTATAAGGAAGGCAACATGGAAAAATTGCTTGGAAGTCAGCTTATCCACACCACTTATGTGAATTTACAGCAGAGTTTTGTGCAATGGGAATAATTCCATTTACAGGTAAATATGATAAATAAATAAAATGATGGGTCTATAGCCCTTTGGAAAATCCAAAACTAGGGCTGGGGACAGAGGAGTGCAGTACAAAATAGGTATCTTCATGCATTGTGCAAAAGTATAACTTGGCACAACCCATCAAAGTGACACATATGCAAGAAGACTTGTGAAAGTTCAGGGGGAAATGGAAGGTGTATATTCTGGTGTCAGCTCTGCAGTACAACAGTTAAGGGAGCTGGACCCCACATGGAGACCATGTTTCAAATACTGCACCCAGTGGCCTGAAAAGCAAATCTAGCACATGTGCATGCTTGCCTGAAAAATCCTGAAAGGAAGGAGGAATGGAGAGAACAGCATATAACCATGCACTACTGAGAGAGGCTTTCTTTCTCTTCCCCTCTCTCTCTCTCTCTCTCTCTCTCTGGCCAGCACACACACACCCCAACAATTTAAAAAGAAAAAAAGAAGAGGAGCCAGCTGGTGGCATGTTGATTAAGGTGACTGGGTCCCATCTGACTAACTGAACGGTTTGAGTCTTGGATCCAGCAGCTTGAAAAACATGCCAGGCATGTATGTGTGCACGCCCAAAATCCCAAAAGGAGGACGAAATGGAAAAGAGACTGCAGCATAAGCATGACCAGACCCCAGAGGGGATATGCTGTCTCTCTTTCACTCTCATGAGGCTGAGTGCACATGCCCTCTGGCAAATTTTTAAAATAATTTCTTTAAAAAAAAAAAAAAGAAAATGAAAAAGAAGTATGAACACTGATGTAAAAATTTTAAAATTCATGCAGTTTTTTCTTAATACACTAAACTTCCTCATTACATATATATATATATATATATATATACACACACATACACACACACACACACACACACACACGTTACATATGTAAGTATATATGATATTCACTGCATCACTGTAATAGAAATACTAAGAACACACATACATACCCTTTAGTAGGGGATTGATTAAATGTTACTTCCCTCTTAGAAAATACACAATTGATGGAGCCAACACACAGTATAGTGGTTAAGGTGCTAGATTCCCACTTGGCCAACTCAGTTCGAGTCCCAGACCCAGTGGCTTGAAAAATCACACTGGGTGCATGTGCATGCATTCCTAAAATCCCAGGAAAAGCATGGAGGAGAAAAGACTGTGGCATGGCCACTCCCTGTTATGTGATGATGTCTCACTTTGTCTCTGCCTCTCTCTCTCTCTCTCTCTTTCTCTGGTGAGTGCATGCACTCTATGGCAAAAACCTTAAAAAAAAAAAAAGAAAAAAATATTACATAATTGTTAAAAATTGCACTCATTTAGAGGATGTTCTCCACAATAACTTGTAGAGATAAAAGCAGGTATGGAACAGCATAAAATCATTTGAGTTAAAAGAGTACTTACTGGAACATCCAGATGGTTAAGGCAGCTGGATCCCACATGGCCAACTATGTGCTTCAAGTTCCAGAATGGGTAACTTGAAAAAACACCCTGGGCGCATGTGCATGTAAACTCAAAATCCTAAGAGTAGAAGGGATTGCCACATGGTCATCCCCCACTGTGGGGGTGCTTTCTCTCTCATTCTCTCTCTCCAGAGAACACACACACCCTATTGCAAATTTTCAAAAAAAAAAAAGAAGAGTATTGTTATTGAATTATTCATATTATTTGAATATACAAAAAAAAAACTCCTAAAAGTTATGTAAGTAATTTTGTTTTACTGCCAGAGAGCACATATGCTCACCAGAGAGAGAGAAAGCACCTCCCAATGGGATGTGGTCATGTCACATTCCTTTCTCCTCCAATTCCTGTATCACATCAGGAATTTGGGCATCCACACACACTTGTTCACACACACACTTATTGTTTTTCAAACTGTGGGGCCATGATTCAAATTATGGTTGGCCTTGTGGGATCCAGATCCCATAACCACTATGCCAGGGGGCTGGCCCTACAAGTAATTAATGGCAATAATTGCTGGGATGGCCCAACAGAGCGGCAGGGAAGTGCTATGCAGAAGCTGGGTTCCACATGCCAGCCAAGGTTTTAGTCCCAGCCCCGAAGGTTTAAAAACACCCTGGGTGCATGAGCATATGCCCATGAGCAGGATCCTGAGGAGATGGAGAACTGGAGGAAAAGGATTCAGTGTGACCAGGTCCCACTGGAGTGCTTTCTTTCTCTTCTCTCCTCTCTCTCACTCTCTTGCACTTGTGTGCACCATCTTACATTAAAGATATATGTAGTCGGGACCAGCAGATGATGTAATGGTGATGTCCCTGGACTCCCACGCACTCAACCATGGTTCATGTCCCAGACCCAGCAGATTAAACTCATACCAGGTGTGTGTGTGTGTGTCCCCAAACTCCTGTGAGGAGAATAGAGGAGAAGGGATAGCAGCACGGCCATCCCCGTGTTTTCTTGCTTTCTGTCTCTCAGTCTCTCTGTCTCTCTGGCAAGCGCATGGGCTATATAACAAAAATCACTCTAAAATATATATATATATATATGTATACACACACACACACATATTATATATAGTAATAATTACCTACTGGTAATGAGAGTGAAACAATGCCTGCCACATAATCAAGCCTCAATAAATGGAAGCTATAATTACTTCTCTCATCAGTATCATCACTATGAAAATACATCCTTAAAATATGTACACAGAATACATTCAAACTAAATCCATAATGAGGTAAAAAGATAAATCTCAATTACTCATAGGCTGACCATCTAGCCGGAGATCCAAGTGCTTCATTTCTTCAAAGGTAAAGAGCCTTCGGGCCACATTAATGTTGGCTCTCACCTCCACCAGAATGAGATGAGGATATGACACCGAAAATGGTCATGTTATTCAATTCTATCAACAGTTTTTAAGAAAAAGTTTGTAGAGCTGAAAAGGACCATTAAAAGCCCAGAGAAACTACTTAAAATTACATGTGAACAAACGAAAGTGCAGAGAATTCCTCAAATTAGAAACAGTTCAAAAAGTTGGAGCCTGACCCTAGTTAATGCTTTTCCATTTGATTACTAATAATACAGGGGGAAACCAAAAATAAGTTAAATTGATGTCAATTATCCTTGCTAAATCCCCTTCCCCGATGCTTTATTACAGATAATTACATTTGCCAGGATCAAATCCCATAAGCAGAGTGTAAGTCAACATAGAATTCAACAACTCAGCCCTGAGGTTTTCTGAACCAAGTACTGAATGAACATCTGTAATAAAAGCTAAAGTTTGCTTACACTGGAGATTGTCAGGGGCATGTTGAAATCCTTGCCACCTTGCAGCCGGAAACCCCAAGGAGCTGGGCCAACCAAGGACACGCTGTAGTTGCTCATGATTCTGACGGCTCAAAGTCCAATGCCAGAGAATGAAAGAAGCTGTGAGCGAAAATCAGCTGGTTAACATAAATGCTTACATGAAACCTATTCGATAGTTAAGTGTATTGAATATAAAATCAACTAACTATATGCAGTATCTTGGTTTGGGGTATAAAGTGATCCAGAGGATGGTCTATACGAAGTTCTTCCTTAACTGCAGCACAAGAACAATCTGCCAGCTATTTTTTACACTACTTTTACACTCATGCCAGTTTCCACAGTATAAAAATTCCATTATCAGAATATATTTTTAGACGCCTGATCAGTTTTACAACATCCTACAATCCAATTCTGTGGCTTCCTGCATACAAACTTTAAGCTCAAAGTACTTTATAACACTTCGTTAAGGTATATGAGAAAGAACAAGATTTTATTTCAGGTTTAATTATGAATGGTTTCTCCCTTCTCTCTCTCTCTTTTTTTTTTTTGCCTGCAGTTGGCAAGAGTCCTTCAATTTCACTTACTTAAATTCTAAGTTACTCTATGAGAAAAACTACAAATCAGTAGACTCCCATTCATGCTTTTGGCCCATAAAATTTTATTTTATTTTATTTATTCATTCATTTATTTTAATTTGACCGGAAAGAGACAAAAAAAGAGAGAAAGTGAGAATGCAAGCCACCAGATCCGGGACTTGAACTATGGTCGACCATATGGGAGTGTCAAGCACTTTAACCACCAGGTCACTTGTTGGTCCCCCCATTCATGCTTTCTAAATGAGAAGGTGTTTTTAAAGTACAAAAACCATTCTCTCCAATCATGAACTATAACTTTTATTTCTCCTACAGAGAACTTTCTTTCTCTCTCTCTTTTTAAATTTGCCAGAAGGTGCAACATTCCCCAAAGAGACAGAGAGGCAGGCAAGAAGAGAGAAAGTGCCCCCCACTGGGACATGATCACAATGCAATCCCTTCTTCATTTCTCCATTCTCTTGGGATGTTGGGTGTGCGTGCACATGCACACACACACACACACACACACACACACTCATACTGCAGAATTGGAACTCAAACTGCAGTCAGTCATGTGGGATCTGGCTCCCTTAACCACTAGAACATGGGCTGGCCCAGAGGACATGGTATTTTCCACAATTAAAGTTATATTTACTTTTCCTTCAGTAAGCCAATGATGGGCAATACTCTCTAGGGATAGTAATATTTTGACCAGAACCAATTTTGGTTTTTAACACAGCTCATCAGGCAGAGGGCAAGCATTTACCACCCAATGAATACACTATGACAGTATGTGGACGAAATGCAGGGTTGACCTTAATGCATGCATGAAATTGAGCTGCAGCTTTAGAGAAGTATGAGAGTTTCATGCTTTCTTTCGTATTTTCCTGTAGATGTGTCCATAATAACTATCACAGTAATACTTTTATGTAATACTTTTTAAAAGAAAAAAAGCAAGGAGCCAAACCACGGCCCATGTGGGCAGGTTGTCAGGGCACATTGGGAGAGTTCCCTGAGTACTCTGGGGATACATGTGCCCATAACTAGGCTAGTGGGGGCTGGATCATGGGTCAAGACCCCGATGGGGCGTGTTATGTCCCCTCCCCCTACATCTCTCTTACTCATGGAATAAATAAGTAACTTTAAAAAAAGACTAAAACCAATTGGAGAGCAGGAACCAGCAGTTAGCGTAATAGCTATATTGCTGGACTCCCGCGTAGTCGACCGCAGTTCATTACCGGACTTGGTGGCTTAAAACTCACGCCAGGCGTGTATGCGTGCATGCCCAAGATCCCGAGAGAATGGAGGAGAAGGGACTGCGGCGTGACCATCCCCCCTGGGGGGTGATTTCTCGCTTTCTGAATCTCTGTCTCTCTCTGTCTGTCTGGCGAGCACACGCACCCTATAGCGAAAATCTCTCAAAAAAAAAAAAATTGGAGAGGGAAAGAAAAAAGTCTGTTTTGAGTTTCCTATTCATTGTTATGGTGGTAAGACAGATTGGGAGAAATGGAGTTTTGTTTTTGTTTTTGTTTTTTTTAATGTAACACTAAAATCTGAATTGTTTAACCAAATCACCTTATATAATCACAGTCTTAAAATAGTTTCCCATTTTTTTTAACCCATTCAAAATTTCTATCCACTAACACCCAATTCACAGTGGTAGATGTAGATATTCAAATCACCCCCGTATATTATATGCAAACAAAACAAATTCCTGTACGAAGGGAAAATGAGACCAAACTTTCCAACAAGCCTGGTCCTTCTTAGTAAAAGGAAAATTAAATCAGGGAAAATCTAATCTGCACCTACCTAGAAACTAAGTGAGCTTTTCCACTGCCATGGTAGTACTCTGAACCG